ATATTAAGTAGTTCTGGAAGTAAAAATAAATACACATCTTCATCATAGAACAGGAAAAACATTCATTTGACCTAGGATACATTACAAATGGAAGGACATATTTTCCAGTTGTGTAGAAAATGCCTAGAATAAGAAAGGTTTTGTAAAAGCTATTGGACTTTATGACGGACCTTAAATGTTCTTCAAAGGCTGTGTTTTCACAGCTGGGTCACTAACCTGTGATGATCCTTAGTAGTGGGGGGTCTTTAGGGGACAGGGCCCAGTCTGAGGAAATTAGGTGTTTCCTCGAAGGGGATATCAGGGCACCCTTCTTTAGATAGATCTAATACTATCAAAAGGACAGTTTGTCCCATCATGCCCTCCAGCCATAATAGGACCCAGGGGTTGTTGACTGAACTATCTGAAACCTAAGGCAAAAATAAACCCCTGCTTCTTTTCGATTATCTGTCTTACATTTGTCAGCGTGGCGGGAAGCTAACAGTCACTAAGCTGTGAGCTTCAGATTGGCATCTTGTGGGGCCATTCCCAGTGACACTGCTGAACAAGGAAATGTGAGGGCTGTTTTGTTATTTAAAAAGATCTTGTAACAGAAAAAAAGTCTACAAAACACCAGTAGAGTCTGGGTACTCTGGAAAGTTTTGTCTACATCTGTAGACGTGTTACAAAACACAAATAAAGAGCCAGACCCTGTAATTCTTGGTGTTACTAGTGTTGTGGCCCTGATTTGTAACCCCGGTGGTGTGTGAAAGTAACTATTAAAGTGGAGCAGTGGACATAGGGAACTCAATATTGTGTTTGAATTTAGAATTTTCTAAAACATACTCTTTTGCTCCAGGGTTGGGGGTGGGGGCACAGATAATGCACTGGGTACAAAATCTGACATAAATGGAATTATTTAGAGTCCTTTTGAAGTGGTAATTTTTGGTTTGACTATTGTGACAGCAGGTGGAGCTAGTAGTAGGAATCCTATTCCTAGGCCATTTAAAAGGCAGCAAGATCTACAAACCTTACATCACTGTGTTTGTTGCAAAGCTTTAGAATAGTAAATTATTAAGTGCTTGCTTTAGAAAGCGATTGTGGTACTGCAGCAGGAAAGCTGTGCTAAATGAAAACTTAGTCTTCAGAAAACAGGCTAGCGTTTGGATGTGTGGCCTTGGGAAACAACCCGAAGGCATGCTGTGGACCATGTGTTTCTATGGTTTAATGTGTACCTGTGCCTCTGACCCCCTGCTGCGGTATATGACTCCGTGGGGGGAAATAGTATGAAAAGACATGATTATTCATAATAGTGTTATTTGCGATTATTAGATTATTTTTCATTTTAAATGGTAGTAAGCATACAACTTAAATATTTTGTTCTATTAAAAACTAAAGAACATTTGCTGTTTTTACTACGCAACTGTGAAACGGTGACCCGCATACTTTATAACTCCAAATACGGATGTGTCATCTGAATATGTAATTAAGATGACAACAGCATCCATATGCTCCCTTCTCACACAGTGAATCATGCAGCTACCCTCTACCTCATTTCTCTGAGTGAGCTGCAGAGATCAGAGCAGACCTTAGGCATGTGTTTTCCTTCTCTCTGAATTCTGTTTTCTTTCCTAAAGTATGTTTATCTTTCTGGCCATGTAAATAAAAAAATGACTCACTTTTTGCCATTACTTTTTTTGGAGTTAAAGATGATTCAGAACAGCCATCTTAATGTTTTCTTTCTGAGAATTAGAAATGGTATCTCTGTGTTCATTCTTATTTATTCAGTACATGTTACTTACCTGGCCAGCATGTAATGAATGCCTCTTACTCACAGACTTCATGCTGAACATTGGGGGATGAACTTTTGGACAGCATGTACTCCTTTTCCCTAGCATCTCTCAGCTAGACTTGTGGTCAGGCCACACCTTGTGGCCTCTGGGCTGCCGGTCACGGCAAAGGGACTGAGCTGAGAGACACCAGAGAACTTTAACGTGGAGGTGGTGCTTCAGTTGCATCTGGAAGGAGATGTGTGATAAAAATTCACTAGGAGAAGTAAAGCAAGAGATGTTTTCAGGCAGCGTGCTCATGCGCACCAGGGCACTAGGTGAGAAGAGCCTGTGGGTACAGGCAGCACCAGGATGCTTGCTAGAGGGGCTGGACCGTGGGCTGGGGTAGTATGCTGATGGGTCTTACAGATTGCACACCACCCATGAATAAATTATTCAGGGATCTCAACAACTCTAGATGTGTTTTAATTTATTAGCTTTTGGAGTTCATGAAACTAAAGTTATGGATATGGTCTTTGAGAACATGCGTGGCTAGACTTCAATTTCAACCTCAGCTAGCATTTGAAAATATGTTCTCTGGTCACAGGGTGATTAGATGGGAATGGAGCTGCATCAATCTCTGTCCTTAGCAACTACAGGAAAAAAAAATACTGCATATGCTAATTCAGTGCAGTACAGTCTATCCTCTGTTGGCACTTCAGCCAACTATGGTGGAAAGTGTTTGAAAAAAATACATATGAACTGAACACATGTGGACTTTTTCTCCATTGTAGTTGCCTAAACGATGCAGTCCAATTTACATGTGTAGTAATTATGTTATGTTAGCTACTGCAAGTGGTCTGGAGACGACTTAAAGTTTATAGGAGAGTTGTGTAGGGTTATACTCAAAACACTACATTGTTTTGAATAAGGAAGTTTTGCATCCTCCAGCTTTGATACCTTGGGTGGGGGTGGTCCTGGAACCCCCATCCTCCACGGACACCAATGGACATGGATGACTGTATTTATTGAGTACCTTCCGGACATTGTAGCTGGGAGACAATTCCTGCTCCCTAAAGAGTAAGGCCAGCTGCCTCCTGGTCATTTTTCCTCTTAGCTGTCTCCAAAGTGTCATGCAGTTAACACATTTACACCACAGCACTTTATCTGTCCCCTGGTCCTGCTTTTCCCCTGGGCCTTTTCATCCTGTCAGCTGACACCTCAGACCACAGAGTACTCAATCCAGACCTCTGCGTTGTATTTTCACCTGCCACGTCTCACTCCTCATCTCTGTTCTGAAGCAGGGTCTCCCACCCTGTCCCTCCCACTCCCAGTGCCCTGGGGCTGGTGCCTCTTTGCTCGACCCTCCCTTTCCACCATTGTGACTGTTACTCCCAATCCTTTTCCACAATAATAACCCGAAATACCTTTCCAGCGTCTACATCGGATCATATCACTTCTCAATGAAAACCCTTCGCTGGCTTCCTGTTGCAGCTTCAGTAAAGCCCTTGTTATTTACCAGCTCCCCAAGGGCTGAGAGTTCAGGCCCCGTGTCCCTTGTCAACTTTGCGTGGTATTTCTCCCTCTCCCTTTGGGCACATTCTAGTTGCGTGGCCTCTCATTTCCTACCCAGTGGCCTTGGCGTAGGCTGTTCCACCGCCTGGACTGCTCTTCTCATTCCGTAGCCACTGGTGTTCTCGTGGTTTGGGTCTTAGCTTGAATGCCTCCTGCTCTAAGAGCCCCTCCTCCAGTCCCTGCGACAAGGGCTCCTTGCATGACCTTCCGCCACGTCATTGCCACCCTTGTCAGGGACGTATGCACTTGCCGGCAGACTGCACGATGGCCGCCTCCCATAGGACGCTGTTTCCCTTGGAACTGGGATCATGTTCTTTTTCACCTTCTACCTCCAGCATTTATTACAGAGGCCGGCACATAGTGGTCTTTAAAACTTGTAAAATAATCATTTAAAAGCATAAAGTTACCTAGATTTTATTTTAAGTTTATAAGTCACTAATCTCAAATAAAGGAAATTAATTTTTTTTTGGTTTTACGAGACAGGGTTTCTCTGTATTGTTTTGGAGGCTGTCGGTCCAGCCCAGCCTTGAACTCACAGAGATCCGCTTGCCTCTGCCTCCCGAGTGCTGGGATTAAAGGCGTGCACCACCACCGCCCGGCCTGGAAATTAATTATTTTAATGTGCATTGGTGTTTATGCAGTGGATGTCGGGTCCCCTAAGGCTGGCATTACAGGCAGTTGTGAGCTGCCATGTGGGTGCTGGGAATTGAACCTGGGTCCTCTGGAAGAACAGTCAGTGCTCTTAACCACTGAACCATCTCTCCAGTCCCAAGAAAATTGTTTTAACATTGTAAACCCTTGAAGCATATGCCCCAATATTATTAATTATGTTACCCAAACAGTAGAATTACACATACTTATTATATAGTTTGGGGCTATTTTTAAAACAAAATGATAACTTTTAAATGGAAATCCCACATTATGCAAATGAACTGCTCTTTCTATATATTTCAGGCTCAGTTCACTAAAATGTCTAAAATCTTGGCTCCGCTCCTTAAACCTGCTACAAAGATCACATTAGAATTCATTTTAATAGACATTGTAAGCACAGTGCCCAACCTCATATCATCACGCTGGGCTCTTTTATTACAAGAGCGCAGGAAGCTGAGCCTAAGGCTGCTGAACACGTTGTGGGCTGTATTCAGGGCTGGGGATGGTGCCAGCTCTATTGTTTATGTAATATTCTCTGCACCTTTATCTGTGGCATACAATTGGTGTTGACTTTTGGGAAACTACTTCTCTGACCCTATCTCCCAGTTGGGGGGGAAAAAACCTGCTGAAATGACACCTGGCTAGGAAAAAGAAGGTATTAAAGCAGCATACTGGAAGGAAAATTAGGCACTTTTCTTTAATAAGCAGTTCTGTGCCTACCTTTTGGATCCAATCAGAGGGAGAGTGTTAAACTTTTTCAAGGTCATGGATCCTCCATCCCTGGAGACACTCAGGTCTCTGGTTTTCAGACGCCTGTCTCTGGTTTTCACTATTGATTGCTAGGGTTGGATTTGCTTAGCCTGTAGCACAACTCAGTGTCTTTCTGGCTGTATTTATGAGTAAAAATCCTTTGTGAAAGATTATTTGTGATAGTTACCACTGTTCATGTCTGGCTTTTCTTTTTTTTTTTGAAGAAAGGAAGAATGTATTCATCTTTGGCAAATGGTTTTTCTCCCTCCCCACTTCTAGGTGTATCACTTGAGGGGTTTTTAGACATTGTAAAGAGGAAGAAGGAAGCCCAACTCTATCGGAATGAGATAAGGCACATCTTCACAGCTTTCGATGTGCACTGTAAGTGTCTTTAAAGTGTTTTCATGTATGAATTGCTGCCGAGGAGTTGTGAATAGGAATACATCCCCAGTGGTGCAGTATACTTGGAAGATCATGGCCACACACACATTGGCTGTGACCACAGGTTTTGGTGGGAATCCTTTCCTTCATCTGGGGTGCTAAGTTTCCGGCTCATGCCTGGATGAAATAATCACAGTTATAGAATTGGATTTGTGTGCTTGCCTATTGTACCTATATTGTAGTAGTGATAGCCATAGGACTGGCCATTCAGGGCTGTAAGTCACAAGCCCCCCCCCCATGGACATGTGGGAGACACTTCTGCAACTCTCACTTTGATCCATACCTCACTGGGAGAATCATTTTCCACACTAGCTGTGGCGTCCAAGATTCATACACTGGCTATGATTGTAATTTCCCCTAAATATCAATATATCATCGGTCTAATGCCAGGCTGGAAAACAATGAGTTTGGAAGGCTTGCATGTTTTGGCAGGTCTCAAAGACTTGTACATCATTACAGTCTTGTCTATGTGGTCTTTTCCCTAGGACTTAGAGACCCAGATAGTACAAGGCTGGCAGTGGCCTTTCAGCTTATCTAGGACTGCACCAAAGGGCGGTTGTCACTACCACATTATGAAATTATACTGGGTGTATAATGACCTATGTAAGATCAGTTACAAATTACTGCTTTTTTCTAGCTTTAATAATACGTTAAAATTTGACTTCCTGTAACTATTATGACTGAAGTCGTAGTTCACAGAGCTTATATGGGGTAAGTGAATGCTTAATTTTTTGTTTTCGTATAGATCGTGGATTTTTAACTCTAGAAGATTTCAAAAGGGCTTTTAGTCGAGTGGCTCCCAAGCTGCCGGAGAGGACAGTGCTGGAGGTGTTCAGGTATGGCGCTATGATCTCTGTATCCATCCCTTCACCCTTGGATTTACCATTTGCTCTCAAGTATACTCAGTTTAACAGAGAACCCTCATTTATGGTGATTTTTCACTTTTGGACATTTCCCTTTTACAGCCCGCTTTTATGGTCCAGGAGAGAAATCTGTAGTTAGCTGCAAGTCTAGCTGCCTCTTTGACAGGGGCTTACAAGGAGAGGAAAAGGAGAACCTTGTGAGTTTATGTGTCACCATAAAGCTTTATTGATATTTGACACAGTCTGCATTTGTCAGCAAGGCGACACATGGTTTTCGAGTCGGAGAGAAGTGCCGGAGGCAAAATGGCGGCCCCTCGTTCATTTGCTTCGCAAGCTGCTGCCCTCACTCCAGTTGTGGTTTACACCTTAAGTGTGTCTTTTCAAAACGAGCAAGTGGCCTGAAGGCAGTTTGAGCTGGGAACCAACAGATTGTAATGTAAGTGGCACTAGCATCAGCATGGCCAGACCTGTGTGGCCCAGCTGCCTTTCTCCAACCCTAGCTTGAGCCAGTATCACCAGATACGTCGAATAGACTTTACCCACTGGCAACATCCAGAAAAACCCAAATACCGAAAGATCACAAAAGATATTCATGTATTTCTCTCCAATAAACATAGGCAACCCAGGCCTGTGTGATAACATCGTAGTTTCAAGGGACCTAGGTTTCCCATTTCTTGTTCCTCTGATGGCTTTAACTCCTGGCTGCCTCTTCTCTGGGATTGGTGTTGAAGTTGCAGCTATCTGATCTGAATACCAGCAGTTGAGAGGAAAGGACAGAAGCCCTGTCTCTGCTTTTGAGGTTCTATGTCAACCCCTCATCACCCCAGGGACCGACACTGAGGTTCAAGGCTGCTTGTGTTTGCGGGGGAGGCAGAGAGGCTTTGGACAGTTTTGTGTCTGCTTAATAGAGGTTCTGATACTAAAGAAGAAAGAGAGGAATGGATATTGGGGGACATCTGGCAGACACTCCCTTTTGGGAGAAAAGAAATGGAATGGAATCTGGCTGGAAGCCAGCTCTGCTCAATAGAAATTATCAAGCAGGTTATTTGAATAAGGATTGTGCTCATTATCATTAACAGTGACATATATGAAATTCATTTGCTGCCGCGCTCACAAGCAAGCCATTGAGCAGGCTATTGAAGGAGAACGTGTATCCTGATGCATACAAAGTGAATGCAGAGAATGTAGGTGATTTTGTCAAAGCAGGTTCTTAAATGTGTATTAGCATCTGTCTGTGTGCTTCGTGATGAGGTGAGCAGTGAATATCAATATCTACCTTACAGTGGTAGGTCTTGACAGGAATTAAAAATTGGTATTTATTTTCATATATATGGAGATATATATGAAATATATATATAGCCCAAATTTGCTGACCTTTAAGTATTTGTTATATGGTTATAGTATATGCTACCTTATAGAGAATTTTGAAGAAAATATGTATTTTTTCCTGGTATTGGGCCTTAAGCCCAGGGCCTCTTGCGTGCTACACAGGTGCCCTGTCACTGAGTGATAACCCTAGCTCACTTTGAAGATTTTATTGCAGGCAGAACCTCACTAGGATGCCCACACTGACCTGAAACTCATTCTGGGTGTGACTCAGGCAAGGCCTTAAATTTGTGTTATCTTGCCTCAGCCACCTGAGTGGCTGGGATTACATGTCTGTACCACCAGACCAGGCTTCGGAAAAAGACCTCAATACAGCCCTTTGAGACAGAGACAATGCTTAAGCATGTGTGAAAAAAGTAACAGCCTCCAGTCCAAACTCCACTCTACCACCTTGTAGAAAGCATTTTTGAAAACACATTTATAAATAAGACTTTATTTTACAAAATCTTGTGTGTTGCCTGTTAGACCTTTTTATATCTGTGTTTGCTAAGTTGGAAAATGAAATGTCCTGACCTGGCTTGCAGTTTTCTTCTTTTTCAAATGTAACAGTATTATGGGCAAGGGGTATTTGAAGTAAGTCCTATCCCTTCCTCGTGCCCTTCAGGGGGGCTGTTGGCAATGAATGGTACCTGGGGAAAAGGGCAGACAGGTGTCTTCAGGAGTGTGGCCAGTGGTAATTAACCCACACCTGAACGCATGCACGTTCCTAGACTCGGTGGGTCATTAAAACACACCAGGAGAGTAAGAAGGGGATGTGCTGGGAAGCAGACAGATTCCAGCATGGAAGGGGGACAAGAGAAGGGGATGGGGAGTGACTATAGTCAGAATACCTTATATACATGTGTAACATTGTCAGAGAATAAATTAAAATTTATTTTTATAAAACAAGTCCCAAAACCTTAGTACATTTTCAAAACCTACCTATGATATCAGAAAAGGTAGCTATTTATTTCTGGGCTTCAGTCAGGAGTAGCAAAACAATATTAATTAAGCAAATTCAAAACTGGCTAAACCTTTTCATTATCAGTGGCTGGAACTAAAAGCTGAAGGTATCAGGACCATGATCACCTGGTCTCATTTGAGCTGTATGACAGCTCTTAAAGCCAAGTCTCAAAACAAATTGAACTTTTAATTGCTCAGTCAGAAAGGATTAAATGAAGATGTTCCAAAATAATAAAGTAAATTAAATCACATTGTTATTAAATGTTATGAATAATTTCTAGTTATTTGCCATTAATAATAAAATCTATGTATTAAATTACTTAGCTATTTTCTGTTACATTTTTATAATTATATAATATATTAACACAGTAGTACATGTGCATATAGGCTGTAAATGCATGTATTTCTATTGTGGGTTTTGTGCTACCAAGTTGTGTGCTATGTGTTGTATGTCCAAAACAATTTGGAGACCGCCATAATATACAACCAAATCAAGGCATTTTAGTTGGTTGAACCTGGCTTGTTTAAGTCCATCATATGGGGCTGGAGAAACGGCTCAGTAGTTAAGGTTACTTTTTCTTGCAGAAGCGGCACACACATTAGGTAATTCACAGCCACCTGTAACTTCAGTTCCAGAGGATCTGACACTGTCCTGGCTTCTAAGGGAACTTCAACATACATGCACACACACACAAAGGTGAAATCCTTTAAAAATTAGTTTATTGTATTAACACCATAATCTGTAAACTAGAAATAAAAGAATATAAATACAAAGAACTACTGGACTCGAAGGGGAAAGAAAATATTTCTTCTTTGTGCAGATTGAAATAGACCAAAGGAATAGAGATGTCTGAGACAGTAAGCAAAAGCATCCTCCTGTCAAGTGGTTTTCAGGTATAAAAAAATAAAAATGAGTTGCTGGTGCACTGTTCATGATATACAATGCTGTGATGTTTCCAAGGTGACAGGCCAGAGAAGCTGAAGGAATTTCATCAGGACCAGAGTTCCTTGTAGTTTGAATGACTTGGAAGGAAAATTAACCTTTTGATCTAATAGCCACCAGGTTCTTCTTGGAGAAATTTCTAGAGATCAAGAGTAGCCATTTTCAGAAGTGACTGCCCTTGTTATATACTCTCATTCTGTAAACCAAATCAGACGACAATATAAAACAAAGTAAGCAAATAACAGAAGCAAAACCTACTTGGACACGATTCAACAAACAGGTACTTTGCTCTCTATCTTGATAAGAACGTTGGCATGTTCATAATTAAGTTAGGGTGCTACAAGAGCAAAACGAATTATTTTTATAATGTTCGTGAATTGTGGGCCATTTTATTGATGTTTAGTGGTTGTAGCACAAGTAAAAGTAATGTAGTTTTCAATAGCTATATTTATTTCTAAAATTCATATTCTGACTGTTCTGTAGCTCTTACCTCTTCTTTTACTGTCTTTTTTTTGCAAGATTTCTCTATTTTTTTATGTACATTGGGGTTTTGCCTGCTTGAGGATGCCAGATGCCCTGGAACTGGAGTTACAGACAGTTATGAACTTCCATGTGGGCCCTGGGAATTGAACCCAGTCCTTTGGAAGACAGTGCTCTTAACTGCTGAGCCATCACTCCAGCCCCCCTTTACTGTCTTAAGAAGACAGTAAAGCTCACCTCTGAGTCATGTTTCATAGCTTTTGCTTCTAAGGATTGTAAGAAACACACTTCCTATTGCCTTTTATGTTTGGAAATACTTACCTGGAACATTGTACCTGGATGAAATTATGTAGTGTGTCAGTGGTAAAATTCTATAGTCAGGTTCTTTTTCTTTGAAATGTTTGTTTATTCTTATGTTAGAGGGCATTCTTAAAGTTTTTTATTTTAGTTTTTAATTATTTTGGGCATATGTGTCTGTGTGAGGGTTTGTGTATGTGTGTGCAGTTGCCTGCAGAGGCCAGAAGAAGACATTAGATTCCCTGGAGCTGGAGTTGCAGGCAGTTGTGAACTGCCTGACATTGGTGTAGGATACTGAATTCAGGTTCTTTGTGAGAGCAGTCTGTACTCTTACCAGCTGAGTCATCTGCCATGTGTCTTAGTATGCTTCCTGTAATGTCTGTTTTCATTTGTGACCTGGCCATTGTGGCTTTTTATTTTCTGATTCAGATTTGTTTTCCTTTCCTGTTTCTTTGTTGCACTGTATCTGCTGATATTTCCTGCCCTTTTTGTTACTCTGCTGTACTGTTATTTTACAGTACCTCCTCTATGCCGTTTATGTGCATTGTCAAGCTTGTTGTAGAGATATGATTGCCTTATTGGGAAAACAGTATTTTAGAGATTTTATTGTTAGGCAGGATATGGTGCCACTCACCTATAATCACAGCATTTAGGAGGCCAACACATGAGGTTCAAGAGTTCAGTGCTTGCCCCCGCCAGATAATGAGTTCTGGCCCAGCCTGGATAACATGAAACCCCATTTTAAAACGAACAAAAGTATGTGGGAGAGGGTGAGGGTGGTGAAGAGACTGCTTTCAATATTTGAAAGTTGGCATCTTTCCTTTGGTCTTAGGGCTGATAGTAATGATTTGTGTATTTACACATTAAAGTCACCGAGGCTGTATCCAAGATAATGTTGTATTTAGAAGTTCTTAGTTCTTTTCTT